AAATACTTTGGCCACCTGATGAGAAGGAAGGACTCCCTGGAGCAGAGCCTCATACTGGGAACGATTGAGGGCAAAAGAAGAAGGGGATGACAGAGAATGAAGTGGCTGGATGGAGTCACGGAAGCAGTAAGAGTGAGCTTAAATGGACTCTGGGAGATGGTAGAGGACTGGAAGATCTGGAGGAATGTTGTCCATGAGGTCGCAATGGGTCGGACACAACTTTGCAACTAACAGCAACAACGTTCTGTGGAAACTTAGAGCTAAATCCCCATTTCATTTCTGAAGCTTGATTTGGTCGATTGTGGATCATTTCAGGATTGCACTAAACCATAGCGTAATTTTGGCTTAGTATGTGTTAGCTCAGTTCTCCATGGTTTAGGGCTTAGTGTGTGATTACAGGTAGTCCTCGGCTTACAACAGTTCACTTAGTGACCATTCAATGTTACAACGCCCCTGGAAAAAAGTGACCTATGTACATTTTTTCACCCCTGTGACCATTGCAGCATCCCCATAGTTACGTGATTCACATTCAGATGCTTGACAACTGATTCACATTTATGACGGTTGCTGTGTCCCAGGATCACCTTTTGCAACCTTCGGACAAGCAAAGTCAATGGGAAAGCCAGATTCACTTAACAACCGTGCTACTAATTTAACAGCGGGAGAGATTCACTTTAACAAATGTGCCGAGAAAAGTCGTAAAATGGAGCAAAATTCACTCAATAAACTTCTTACTCAGCAACATAAATTTGGGGCTCAACTGTGGTTGTTCATTGAGGACTACCTGTACATGGGCACCCAAAACCTGTGAGGTCATTCATGCAAGCCAAGATTAAAACAGATTGTGGCAATGTGCAATGTAGAAACTAAGCCACCATTAGCCATCCTCAAAGAATGTTGGAAGGACGAACGGAGAAAACCAGCAAGAACTATATGTCTATTCTCAGTCATCCAGGTCATGGTTGTCCCAAAGGTGCTTTTTAAAGGGGCAACTGGAACTTCCTGGATTTTGTTGGAAGACGTTTCGCTTCTAATCCAAGAATGAGCTTCAGCACTGAAGAAGCTTCTTGGATGAGGAGCAAAATGCCTTCAAAGAAAAACCAGAAAGTCCAGTTGCCTCTTGAAAAAGTACCTTTGGGACTGCAAGAACTATGCTGAGCTCTTCAAGAAACGCTAATAAATGAAAGCAGGTTGTTCAAGCTTAAGCAATCCTACATTTACATTTCAAATGCTACTCAAAGATACTTAAAATATTATTGAGCTGTCAGTTTTCAAGGCAGACCCAGTCACGAAATTGGTAACACAATAATGATAGGAATGCTATTTGATTGCTGTAGGGTAGAATAACATACTTAAACATAAAGCTTGCTAATTTTTCTTTATTCCTTCTTATGCCAAAGAGAAAATCAATGCAATATTTTCTCTTTCTCATAAGTTATTTCTCCTCCTTTACCAGCCCAAACATTCCTTCATTATGGTTATCTCCATTCTTTACACTGTCACAATACAAACTTATTTGGAATGGTTTTTTTTTTACTGGTAAGAAACAGTTATTTGCTGTTAAAAACACTTTAAGGCAATAATAGGTTTTAAAAAGTAACTTCTGAAAACATGAAGTATGAATTTTAAAAAGCGGTATATAATTTGGGACAATTTAAAATATATAAAAAATAAATGACTTCTCTTGAGGGTTTCCTTTATTGCTCCTAGCAGTTGGGAAGAAAACCTAAAAACTTCTATTTCCCCCACTGATTAATTCACTCCAAGTGAATTCTTAAATCTATCTAGTTCTTAAATCTATGATGATGAATAAGTAGCTCCTAATCAATTGAAAGGGAAGTCAAATTCCTAGCTTCCATGCAACCTCCGAGTTTTGCAAAGCAAGAAGAATTAAATCAAGAAGAAATATTTGAATTTACTTTATAACTAAGTTAGTCTATCAAACTATCAAAGTCTACTCTGGCAACAGCTGTCACGGTAACTGGCCCAAGGTCTTCCTGTGGCTGGCAGAGTGAAAACAGCAAAAATATCTGCTCTGTTAACTTAGCCGTGAATGTCTGACTTGAACCGAAAGTTTTAAGTTTAAAATAAAATGTTTTTATTACCACATCACTCTTTCTCCAAGGAGCCTGTAGCACTTCATGAGAGATTTTTAATTTTGTATAAACCCATTGCATTGCAATATAACCAAACAATGCCAAAAGAAATACATACAAAAGTTAAATCAAAGTTCATTTACAGAAAAAGAAATAAAAAACAGCATAACAGGCAATCTTAGAAGCTCCCTAGACTATAGTCTCTGATAACTGTTATACCTCCAAGTGGAAAAAACAACAACACACACACACACACTTTCATCCTGCTTTTTCTATATGCAGGGAAACCTGTTTCAATCCAAGACTGTCATTTTCTAAAACACTCTTATTTTTATGCAGACCCTGCACTATTGCTTCCTTTGACTATAGCAAGCAACAAATCTACTTATTTATTCAATTTGTACATGTATATTGTCCAGTATATATATATATATATATATATATATATATATATATATATATATATATATATATATATATATATATATATTGGTATGTATATGTATATGTATATGTATATGTATATGTATATNGGATTTTGCAGTATCCTTCCCCTGTCATGCCCACCAAGCCACGCGCACAAAACCAGTAGTTAAAAAAATTGAATTTCACCAATGACTAAACCTTACCTCTTCTTGGCCTCCCAAGTGGGTGTGTAATCCAAGGCAAGCACCTTTAGCATGCTATGGAAAGATACAGCAAGCACACCTACACTTGACACCTGAAAAAATGTCCGGGTTTGGATCCAACATGCATACAGGGAAGGAGGGAGGGAGGGAAGAAGGAAGGAAGGTCCAACACTCAATGCTGGTTGAATGAAGGGTTGGCTGCACCTACCTATTCCTGCATTGGCTCCTGTGATGATGATCACTTTGTCACTCAAGTCTCGGCCTTCTAGTACTTCCATTGCCGTGGTGTTGCCGTCATACTTCTGTTTCATGTTGCTTTTCATGGGATTGTCTTCCACGGTGAATGCCATTCTGGGATCAAGGTAGGTGGTCCTCTTGTTTATATGGCTTTGAAGGAAAACAAGAAGCATTTTTCCATGTCAACACCTCATTTTATTACCACAAGCACAGCTACATCCCCATACATTAAATCAAAGCGTAAGCTCAACCTTGAAGCAATCAAGGGAGCCATTTTCATCACGCTGAAGATACCGGCTCAATCAGGTTTTTTAAAGCTTCGTATCATTCTATACCAGTGTTGGCGAACCTTTTCAGCACCAAGCACCAAAAAGGGAGCAATTCTCGTGGGCGCACATACTTCGCATACATGAACACCCTCATCTGGGCCCCAACCCAGAAGAGGAGCAGCCCAGGGGGCATGTGCGTGCCGGAAAATGAACTTCCGGTTTCCAGCACGCATATGTGCATCAGCCAGAAAGTAACCGTCACGTGCGCATATGCACCAGAAATCCGGAAGATTTCTGCCAGGTGGCATGACTCCACATGCCACTTTGGGCACACATGCAATAGGTTTGCCATCACAGTTCTGTACCCTACAATGGATGTCTCTGCATTTGCAGAGGGGGAAAGGTAGAAGGCCTGGATTGCATCCTATTTGATTGTTGCTTGTATAAGTGGATGGGAGACAGATACTGTGGTCCATATACCAAACGAAGGACCCATTGGGAGCCCCATATCAAAACAACTTAGCTTATGTGTGGCCAGAATCTGAAAATGACACTTAACACAGCACAAGACTTAAACAAAATCGTTTGGTTGAGATCGGGACTGATTGGGGTAGACTGTAGGGGTGATACTGAAATATAATTTTATCACATTTTCTTTATCTATACATTAAATTATTGTATTTTATTCCAATTTCATTTTAAATCATATTTTATACAATTCCATTTTAAATTGTTTTTATCAGATTTTAGTAATAATTTGTGTCTGGAACTTTGTACTTTGATGTGGCTAATCCAGAGTAAAGTGAAGATTCGTAAGTTGGAGAAGTAGTGCAAAATTAAACGTCGAGAGTCTTTGATTCTAGTGACTCTGCTTCAGTAAAGACAGAATAACAAAATTGGAAGGAACCTCAGAGGTCTTCTAGTCCAAACCCCTGCTCCAGCAGGAAACCCTATACCATTTCAAGCAAATGGCTGTCCAATCTCTTCTTAAAGAGTGTTGCAGCACCCATCACTTCTGGAGGTAAGCCATTCCACTAATGAACTGTTCTAACTGTTAGGAAAAGATCAGCTATCTACAGTAGAAAAACGATGTCAGTGACAGCTATATTAAAACTTGTCAGAAGATGTCTTGGTATAAATAAATTACAAGTAAACAAAAATGATTAATAATACAATTTGTTCCTGGAAGGAGAAACTAAAAAAAGACATTTCATAGGAAGCCTCTAATCACACACCTCTTTGCATTATCTAAAAATCCAGTTGTCACTTTAGGATACCCAACCTTAGTTAAATCAAAGAAACGGAGGAACTACTTACACGGACACGGTTCTTCCTTTTGCCACAGCTCCTATGCTGAGTTACCTCTCAGAGTGTGAGAAAATGTTTCTAAATTGTCAGCAGGACCATCTCATTTCTTAAAGCTGTTTAACAAGTCGGCTTTAACATTGCAACACAAAATCACTTAAATCAATTCAGGTGTGGCTTTGCAAGGGTGTAGAGTTAGATCATACAGCAACACTTTAGGCTTATTACCACTTCACAGTGATTTACAATCCTCTCTATGCTGTCTAGAGTTAGCATATTGCCCCCAACAATCTGGGTCCTCCTTTTACCCACCTCGGAAGGATGGAAGGCTGAGTCAACATTGAGCCCCGACAGGATTGAACNATCTGATGGTCATTTTGAAAAATCCATTCTTAGCGAGCACCTAGAACATATGTGGCAAATTTCAAGTATGTAGGCTTTACAGTTCTGGAGATTTCATGACGAGTGGGTGGTATTGGCTTTTATATAGATAGATTCTGGCAGCTCATGACAATGAAAAACAGAAAGAACAAAAATTATAAAAGATCAAAGATCCAATCCCACTAAAATCACTGTTAAAAACTCAATTAAGCACAAAACATAACCACAGTCAACACAAATAATAAATAAATACTATTAATGATGGATTTATGTATAGCCTGCCAGAGAGAATGCTCTTTTATCCCATTTTCCCCACAACCCCCACAATGAACAAGGTAAGTTTGAGAGAGAAGCACAAACCCAATTCTCTTCAGTGCATTCCATAACAAGATAATTTAGGACTTCCTCATCTTAGTTCAGGGGTCTCCAAATTTGCCAATTTTAAGACTTGGCTGACTGAGGAATTCTGGGAGGTGAAGTCCACACGTCTCAAAGTTGCCAAGTTTGGAGGCCCATGTCCTGGACTAAGGCCTTAATCCACTGCCTCTCAAGCCCTCAAAAACATGCCCCAAAAATTCAAACTTACTCCACAAAATAGACTTGTCCATTTTCATCTGTCTCCTGTTCCCAACCATACGGTAAGTCTAGAAGGAGAGATAGAAAGTGCATCAGTGTGTATGAGAGTTCATGACTGGAAGAGTAACAAGGTCAGCCAATGGGAACTGAAACAGTTTGGAGCCTGGGCGTAGCTTAGCTCTAAAGCTCTTGAGTCTGTGCTCAGCTCAAAACTAGTCTGCTGCTCTGAACTGAAACTGTTCTCTCCTATGCCTTTTTTGCTTGTATTTACTACCACGTTGGAAAACCTGCCTTGGAATTATGTATTTACTTCATGTGTTATATAATATATAAAGAGATGTTAATGAATCCTGCTGAATTAGTTACCTGTTCTGACCCCCCTCCTCCATCCAGGAACGAAATCCGAGACAAACATAAATGAGAATATTTTTTAATAAGTCCAGACTCTTGTTGGCTGAAAGCCAAATCAACAAAGAGATAAGCACTGGCAGCAAGTCCTAC